ATTTTTTAGCTCGGCGATATAGTGTAATGATCAATAATTTTCTTAAAAATATAAAAACTCAACAACAAATATTAGTTTATAATATAATCACAGAGAATGCTCATCATATCGATAGACATTTGTATATAGAATAATAATGTATATGATGTTGGTACTCTATTTTTCTTCTTGTTGTTGTTGTTGTTCGTTTTGTTATTTCCATCTAGTCAAATATTCGTTTGCACTCTTCAAAAAAAATATCAATGATATCATTAAACTTTTGTTTGAGCTTGTAAAAAGCATTTTTTTTTCTTTTTCTTGTATAAATATGAAACAGTACTTGTTTCATTAGAACAAAATAAATTGAAATTGATTTACAAACATAAGTAGGGTCAAACAAGCAAATGTTTATATTATGAATTTATTATCGTTATTTGCCTAGAGATAAAAATAGTATCGAATTTAGCCAAAAATGGATTCTCTCGGAAAAAGAAATACTCAAGTATTTCCGTAATATTTTAATTAAACAGACTGATTTTTAAAACTACTAACGGAAACATACTTATAGAGAAGAAAAATCAATATTGCCTTGAAATATTATTTTAAACATTATAATATAGTGTTTTCTCTCAAGACATTCGTCATGAAAAACTAATTATAAAATATTTTTGTTCTCATAACTCAGTCAATCATTTTGATCAAACTATAACGGAAATACTTGAAACTATCCTTTTCGACAAAATGAATATTGTCTAAGAGTTTAAATATTGATTTCTAAACCTTCATTGTAAAATATCTTCGGTAGATGTCAGTCTTTACAGATGAATTGATCAAGTATCTTAATTATGAATGGATCTAGACAATATAACGAATGAAAATAATTTCAAAGATATATGTCCATGAAGAAAAAAAAATCAATCTTGTGATCTTTAATATTCATCTCGTTTTCTCTATCAATGGTAAAAGCACCACCTGATCATTCTCCGATGGTTGTTGATAGTCAAGATCTATCATCATCGACAATAATGAATCCAATAACATCTCCAAATCAACTTCCAATTCATTCGATGCGAAAAAAAATCATTCAAACCGTATTTAGTAATGATTGTTGTATATTTCTTGGTGAAACAGGTTGTGGTAAAACAACACAAATACCACGTTTTCTTTATGAAGCTCGAGAGAAAAAATTCAAAAATCTTCTAAATAAAAAATCACAACGAAATAAAAATTTAATTGCTTGTACACAACCGCGTCGTGTTGCTGCTATATCAGTTGCTGAACGTGTTGCAAGTGAAGTTAATCAAAATTGTGGTGAACTTATTGGTTATAGTGTTCGTTTTGATGAAGCAATAAGTCGTCGAACAAAAATAAAATATATGACTGATGGTATGTTATTACGTGAAGCATTACTTGATCCATATCTTCGACAATATTCAATAATTATTTTGGATGAAGCACATGAACGTACATTACATACAGATCTTCTTTTCGGAATCGTTAAACAAGCATTAGAATATCGTAAAAAATCACAAAAAAATTCATTACATGTTTTAGTTATGTCTGCTACAATGAATGTGGATTTATTTTCAAATTATTTTAATCAAGCACCTGTTCTATATCTACAAGGTCGACAATATCCTATTGATGTTTTTCATGTACAAGAAACACAAACAGATTATATACATGCATCATTAATTACATTATTTCAAGTAAAAAAAAAGAAAAGAAATAATAATAATAAAAATTTTGTTCTTCTCTTTATAGATTCATCGAACAACACCATTGAATGAAGGAATATTAATATTTCTTACAGGACAAGATGAAATTGATTCAATATGTAAAACTATTAAACAAATTGTTGCTAGTGGAACAGAATCCCTAGAACCAATTATACCTTTACCACTTTATGCAAATATGACAACTGTAAAACAAATGCTTGTTTTTAAACAAACACCTGAAAGTAAATATCGTCTTTTAGTCAATAATTTATACATTCTATGATCTATTTAGATATTCGTAAAGTAATTGTTTCAACAAATATTGGTGAAACATCAATTACAATTCCAGGTATACGACATGTTATTGATTGTGGTCGTGTTAAAACGAAAACTTATAATCCACAAACTGGTCTAGAAATATTACAAGTACAAAAAATCTCACAAGCACAAGCATGGCAACGTACTGGACGTGCTGGACGTGAATGTCCAGGAACATGTTATCGCATGTATCCAGGTTAGATTATCTATTAACTTTAATCTCTAGAATAACAACGATTAATTAAATATTTTTTTAGAAGAAGAATTTGAACAATTACCATCAACACCTATACCTGAATTACTTCGATGTAATTTAGCAACTGCTGCATTACAAATTCTTGCAATGGGAATAACAAATATTTCAACATTTGATTTTCTATCGAAACCAGATGAAAAATCTATTGCAGCTGCCTTAAGGGAATTGACTTATCTTTGTGCAATACAACCATCCAATGATAATACATATGAATTGACAGATGATGGACGAAAAATGGCTTGTTTTCCACTTGATCCAAAGTTTGTGTTTGAAATTAACTAATCAAAAATTTTTATTTTATTTTAATCTTTAGACTCTCACGTTGTTTATTAGCTTCATCTGGTCTGAATTGTTTAGAAGAAATGCTTAAATTAGTTAGTATAATGAGTGTTGATACAATATTTCTTACATCATCAAATATAAATGAAAAAATGAAAATGCAAAGACAAAAATTTACAATGAATGAAGGTGATCATTTAACATTATTAAATGTTTATAAAACTTTTATTTCAAATAAAAAAACCAAAGTATTATTTATCAACTTTTTTCATATACACAAAAAAACTTTTTTTTATCCCGCCTAGGAATGGTGTCAAATAAATAAAATTAATCGACGAAATCTATTACGCGCATGTGCAATACGAAAACAATTAAGACGTATTTGTATTGAATTACAATTAAATATTAAGTCTTGTGGAACAAAATATAGTCTTGTTCGGTAATATATATGTCTATACATTTTTGCTATATATACAAACTTTGATTTTAGACAAGCACTTGCTCAAGGATTATTTATGAATGTAGCTGAATATTTGAAGGAAAATGATTATCGTACAGTAAGTTTGAATATAAACTAAATTCATAGAAGAATTTGTCTGAATTAAGATAAATGATCGTCATATTGTTAAAATTCATCCAAGTTCAGTATTATTTGGTGCTAAACCATCCGTAGTTGTTTTTACTGAATTAATTCAAACAACAAAACGATTTATTCGGTAAATGATTTAATTCTATAAAATAGTTTTTTTAAATTATTTATTTTAGAGATATAACAGTAGTTGAACCGGACTGGCTTATTGAAAGTAATCCGGAATATTTTAAAACTCGTCTTTCTTCGAAATAGTTTGTTTGTTTTTCTGTACAAATCAGTGATAAGATTTGTGATTTGTTTATTAGCAAATAAAAAAAAAAGGAAAACGAAAAAAAAAATAAAAACGTTTTGTGAATTATTCATTTTTTTCTAATGTAATCAATTCTTTATCATGAACACCTTGTAAAAGTAATTCCGATGAATAACTAACAACTTTACGACGTTTAGCAGCTTTTAATGTTCCAGCTAAACTTTCAAGTGTATTTTGAACTTCATCACTACGAAATAAATCACCAAATGTTGTTTCGTATTTACCCGATGAAGAATTTTGTTTACCAATTGAACGAATAAAATTTGTTAATAAGGATATTTCATGTTCGACTTGAGCTGTATTTGCCATCTTTATAATATATGTTGATAAGAAAAAACAAATGGAGAATTTATCTTCATTCGTTCTGTGTAAATAAGGTGGGCTTGGGTCTATCTAATATCATCACATATCTTGTGATGTCGCTCTTGATCAATCAACTCAACAAAAAAATGTATATTAGATAACAATATTTACGCATCATTTCAATAAAAGAATGAATAACATTCGACTTGTGACGTATGACATTGTTCATATTGACTTGTCATTCAAACGTAATAATCAATTTCATGCATCATGAAATACATGTTATTGGTAATCTTTTTTGAAAGAAAATTAACAAAAAAAGAACAAACATCTGTCGTTAATTAATTCCATATGATGAATAGGCAAGGTTATTGACAATGAGTAATATACTTATTATTTTGACAAAAACGAACAAAATCGTTTAAATAATTTCATATCATATCATAATCTTTATATACACAGTAGATTCGTAATGATAAAAGTATGCGTATAGTTTTATTTTTTAATGAATAATTTCCATCTGTGTTATATAGTTATTATGATAAATGTTTATTATCATTGATATTACTAAAAATAGCGCGTAACATCACAATGATATTTTTTTTGGAGAATCGACCTTCGAATATTGATAAGATTCTTTTGAATTTTTGTTTTTATTAATTGATACATTAGACTGTCGGATATTTTTATTTTATTTGTTATTGAACGTATTTATAGAATATCTAAGAACGCTATTTATTGTCAAGAAACGTTTCGTTAAGTGTTCCAAATAGAATATAGAATCTATAGATCTTTCTAGTTATATTAAATTCCCTGCGGCTCAATCGATGCTATCTCTATATGCAATCGATTGCCATACAAATATTCTACATCTATTTATACTAAAAACTATATTAGTAATGATGAAAATAAAAGAACTCTTTTTTTTCTTTTTGTTTTGCCTCAAGATAGAAGGCTCATATAAACAAAATATTCAATAAAATAACAATGTAACAAACGAAAATGCTCAAAAATCGTCAATCAAATAGCAAACAAGTAGTGAGTAGTGTTTTTCTTCTTCTTCTTCTTCTTCTTTTGCTATTTGAGCAAATAGATCGAGAAAGAAAAAGGAACGAATTTGTTCGTCCCTTTTCTTTTATTATGTTATATTGATTAATATATATATATATATATATTTTTCTAAATGTGTAGTGCTAGTTTTTCTAGTCTACATCACGTTCTCTTCTATTTTATTATAGAAAAAATTTAATAAACAACTTCTTCGACTTTAGGAAATATAAGTGTAAATGCTTCATAACCAACACCATATGTATACATAGGTAAACTTTCATGTGAAGGAATTTCTTTTCCATCAGTACGAAATTCCGTTAATTGAACGACTGGTCGAAACCATCCATTAGATGATAAAATCGTTTTTAAATAAGTATTTTTATTATCATTTTCTTCAAGAGGTGGTTGAAGAATTGTTCGAAAACTTGACGGGATTAGTGCACTATTTGCAGGTAAACAGTAAAGTCGTGGTTGAACTCGTATTGTACAAAAAGGTTCATTTGCATCAGGCAAAAATATTTCGACATATGTATTATTATCCTTCCAAGAGAATCGAGCTAATTTCTTAGGTATACCCCAGTTACGTCGTCCATTAATTACTGAATCGAGAGAGGAAACATAGATTTGTGAAATACGATAATATGTCGAATCATGAAATTGATAAGAACCCGGCATTAAGATTAATTCATCATAAGGACCAACAGGTGAATCCGTATAACGAATAAGAAGTAATCCACCCATACCACCACGAAACGGACTTTGAATAGGATCAGGATTTTCATTAAATAATTCTTGAGCAGGTCGTGATCCATGCATAAAACCATAAGCTACCTCACCCTTTAAAGTCCATGGAGCTGGAGCATCTTTTACTTTATCGTCAGTATTATCTGCCATTATAGTTACTTTATAATATATATATCTGTTTACTGTTTAGTTGTCAGACACTATTTGTTTTTGTTCTGTTACATAGTAAAGGTATACAAGTTATATCGCATAACTATATATCCGTAATGTGGTGCCCTCACTAGGAAGGAATATATCAGGTATATTACTACTCTATATAACAAATATTTACACTATATATATATACAGAAATTAGCTATATTTTATAACTATTCAAGAAAATCTTATTTATTTTTTTGTTCATTTAATTTTCTAAATAAGAACAATTGTTCATTTGTGTGCAGAAAAAATTTCTTTTAATTTCTTTTCAATTGATAATGTGTCAGGGTTAGTATATTAAGTAAATATTATCATATATTTTAGGAAAAATGATTATCAAAATGTAAACGATCAATCAATATGTCTTGTTACGGCAACAAACGTTGGTAGTATTGTTTGTACGTCATCACATACTTCATAACTGGCTAGAGCGATCATCAATATTAACCGAACTGCAATAACAGCATTGGTCCAATTAGCTCTAGTGCCTCGTTGTCACAAACAAAAGAAAAAACCTAGAGAGAAAGAGAGAGAGAGAAGAAAAAAAGAAGAAGAAGAAATGTTGCCGCATTTTTTCTTCTTCTCTATTATTTTGTATTGAAAAATCGAGAAAGCGAAAGAAAGAGCATGCGCACGAGATCTCGCCCGTCGGCCCACTCATTCAATGAGTAGTCGTATAGGCCTTTTAAAAAGAGAGAGAGAGAGGGAGAGGGAGAGAAGGGGAAAGAGACTTGTTATTACTACTACTGAGCATAGTGTCGTTTATTCAGACAATACAGACCAGAGATCATCAACATACAACATATAACAAAGATAGCAACATCGGCAAAATGAACATGATGAAAGGAACGAGACAACTGCCCTTCTTATTCTTCTTCTTCCCCTCTTCGTCCGTCTTATAATTACGTTTGGTGTGTTCCGCTCATCGTTGTCGTTTCGTGATCCATCGACGCGAGTCGCTCAACGACACGTCACACGCACAAAATCGCTTGGTTAGATAGAACGATAAATAAGAAGCATTTTTTTCTATAACTTGTCCCCTATCCCAAGTAAGTAGACATTCTTTTGGGTATACATATCAAAGTCTATCATTATATATTGCTCGATTTTTTCTTGTATACATTAACTATGATAAATGAGAAAACTATACTACCGATTAAACATGATAAGAGAAACAAAATCTTGATTGATACACGAGACAGGAAAATAATATTTGTATGATTTATGTAGACTATCAAATAATCGGATGTTTTTCATGAACTTATAAAAAAACAATTTCAGTTGTCAACATAGACAAATATATCGATTTCGATTATAATTTACATGATTTTTCCATTTGAGTTCAATAAATAGTATATTTCTCATTACTTATACTATGTTTTATTCCTGCATGATTTACATATAAAAGTCAGACATAATCGCTGTTGATCGGAATATACTCTGCCCCTTTTTTTCTCTGTCTCTGTCTCTCTCTCTCGCTCTCCATAGAATGCAAATAGACGATTAAGTTGAGCTATCACACGCTCCAATTAGTGGTGCTTGATCAAGAAATAGATTGGCACAAGTTGACGTGTGCTAGTTATCGAAATAACAACAACAACAGCAGTAGCAGCAGCAGTAGCAAGAGAGAAGTACCGATTAATCCTTGATGAGTTTTTTCTCCTATTTAGCGCAATGGCATCGTATTCTATCGAGATGTTGGAGACGAGTACATATTCTAATGCCAATTTGGCTTTCAACAGATACAGCTGGAGGGATCTTACTAATATGAAAAGACATTGATAATGTCGATTAGAAATGTAAAACTGAGTAATAGTAACGGGAAAAGAAAAGCATCATATACGAAAAAATATAGGCGGATGCGTTTAGGTTTCCTTCTGGTTCTTTTCCTTCTAATGTGCACTATGTTATGTTATGATGAACAACGTTTCTTTCACATGCACTTCGGACGTATGCTCTCATGCTCATAGTTTTCTTTCTCTTATTCTTCTTCTTCTTCTTTTCCTAGCATGATGATTCTTGCATGTGAGCGTTTGCGTGTATATAGTATGAGTTGTTTGAGCCGCAAAAAAGGTGGAGAAAAATGAGGGGAAAAAAAAAGAAGAAGAATCTAGGTTGTTCACTAGCAATAATATTTTATATAACGGGAATCTGCTTGCGCGAAAGAGAGTAAAGTTATAAACGAAGAAAAGATCGTTTTCTTTCTCTCTCTAGTTGACATGTAATTTTGAATAGAATTTCTATTATTTATGCATACATATATTCATTCATTGAAAAGTACTAACTGTTAAAAAATCATTTATGTGAAAATAAAAATTTTCTCATTTGATGTAATTTCCTTATTTATAATAAAAATCAGTATTTAATCTAAAATCTAGACTAATTATTAGAGAGTATAATAAAGAATATAAATAGTTGACTTTTGTTATGTATCTTTTTCATTGACTATTTATTTTCTTAAGTAGTAATTAAAAATACATTTGATGTTATTTCTTTTTTTTTTTTGTTTGTTTTCTAGGATGTCAAAATGGGCACTGCCGAATCGTCTCAATCGCCCGAAATCGGTGGTACCGGCGGTTTTAATCCTCCTTCAGCATTTCGTAGACAATCACCTAATGTTGCTCGTTTAATACATGGTGAAAATTCGCAAAAAATGGAATATGAATTTCCAATATCGGAAGGGAATACGAATAGTTTAGGACCTTTTCGTCGTCATCAACAACAACAACATAGTAGTAATCCTACGATAATAACTGGACAGAAAAATCATCAACAAATACATCATAATGATAATCTTTTATCAAATACAAAAATTTCTCCAAATGAATCATCTAGTTTATGGTCATCATTAGTCAATTGTTTTGGTTGTCGTACACGTGATGCAAATCCTTCAACAATGAATCCTTTACGTGATAAAGTACATGCAATACGTATTGTTCGAGCATCGAATGATTTAACACCAGCAGTATTTGATTCACATTATAATATAATAACACTTGAACAATTACGTGAATGTGACAATAATGCGAGTGGAAATCTTAGTGATTCATCCGATTCAACTAATCCTGATAATGTGCATTCTACTCATAGTGCAAATGGTTCAATATCATCATCAAAAAATGCAAATAATCGTCGAATGAAAAAAAAGAAGAAAAAACGAGCTGCTGCAGCAGCTTATGCAGCGAAAACAGTAACTTCAGATGATGATGAAGGTTATGAACGGACGTAAGAAATGCAAATGAGGAGTCGCTGGTCGATTTCTCATCTTTATAATCAGTCAGAGAGTATTCTTTTATTTTGTATGGTGATAATTGTTTAATACCCGTGCAATTGAGTTTAGCATGTGGAACTAGTCGGTTGTTCTTTTTTTGTATAATTTGTCTTTTTCTTTTTTCTGAAATTCTGTGTTCAATTTTTTTTGCTCTGTTTCTTCCTTCTTCTTTTTTTCTTCTCTTCTTTGCTTCGCACATATTGCACTGGAAATGTGAAAGATCAAAAAAAAAAGTTTTCTTTTTTGAACAAAAAAAGAAACAAAGAATAACAAAAAACAAAAAACATTACAATTAAATTCAAATTAGAATAGAGAGAAAAATGACAACATAAATTGTCTCGTTCATGCTTAATGATTTCGAGTTTGTACCGGATAGAGACAATAAAAAGAGGAGAAAAAAAATATTTCTAATCATAATTGATGATTTTATTTGTCGACAAAGTCAAACGAGATTTTACTTCTGACAAGTTTGTATTTTCTTATAAGGAGAAGAAAAGAAAAGCGCAACGATAGTATAATAAGTACATATGGGAATGAGAAATCCCTAAATTAAGAATACTAATCAAAGAATTATATGTAACTTGAAGAACAAGAATATGTACTTTCATATTATGTAAAATAGATTGATATTTAGTTGTATGATTAATCAAGAATGTAAGTCAGATCTCTTGAGAAAATGAGTAAAGTACTTAGAAATCATATTCGAATTTAATTATCTGAAGAACAATTTATGCTAAAACAAAAATTAGCAAGATATATTCAATTGATTTTCTGTTTCATTTAATTTAAAGATTAATAAATAGTTTTACATTTCGTTTCCTAGTAATAAGAAGAAAAAAAACGGAAATGTTGTTGATAAAATAATTATTTTCACACATACGCTTGATCGATCATGTAAAAATAAAAGATTTCACATATGTATATTTTAACTAATTAATTTTTGACTGATGACGACATAGATGTGTATTACAAAGAAAAAAATTACGTTTTCTAAGTGATTATAGTATTGTATCTCAATGTCTTTTTTTGTGACATTCGGAAATGAATATGAAGACTCTTCGCTCGTATACTTAAGAATTAAAATTAAAAAAGAAATGTAAATTTAGATTCTTGATTTTGTTTTGAAGAAAAACAAGCTTATTCGAGATTAAGATCTATGTTATTTGTAATAGAAAGCAAGACTTGTTTTTTCTTGTCTGGTATTTATACAATTACAAAGTACTATTCATATTCGTCTATAAACACAAATTATGAGTGCCAATTTCTTTGGATATCAATATAAACAACGATATCTTGTACCTCTTAGACAGGTATATTTTAATCTAAATTGAAAATATCCTTTTAAAATTCATTATAGCCTTTTCATAAGTATGATTCATCAAGCAATGAAAGACTTTGTATGATTCAATTAGATCGTCCTCGTACTAAATCAATACTTTCATATTATGATAATGATGAAACGGAAAATGAAAATAAATTATTGAAATCAAAATGGATATTTGTTCGACAACGTTTACCTGAAATTCTTGCTTTAAGTTCGTCATATAGACCAGCAAATCTACAAACTCAACTTACTTTACTCGTTGGAATGATGAATAGACAAACAAAAAATATCAATAATGATCATGATTATAATCTATCTCATATTCCATCGAATGTTACTATTGATATCGGTGGTCGTCGACGATTAATTTATTTAAAACGTATTCCACCTGATCAAATGATACATGTTGATCTTGATCAACTTTCATTTTCTCTTCCAACACGACAACTTATTTTAGCTATAAGTCGTGGTAATGCATATCAAACAGCATCTAAATATTGTCCACCGGCGATAACTGATTTATTAATTAATTTATCTCAAACAAAAATTGTTAATGATGGTAGAAAATATAAACGAGCATTATATAAAATGCTTATTGGTAAAATAATCTTTTTTATTATATTTATATTTATTAGCGGAATGATGTTTACACTAGTTATTAGTACAACAAATACTTTATTTAAATTGAATTCATTTAATTATACAAATCCAACACTTTTGGTGACAAATGTATCATTACATACAGAAACAGAATAATATTAGTAATGGAAATAAACAAAGAGCTTTTCTTCTTTTTGTTATTCATATTTGTATAGATTGTATGGTAAATAATATTGATGGAACCATAGAATAATATGTTCGGAATCTATTGTCATTGTTGTTTTCTTTTTTGTTATTTTAATAATAGAAATGGTAACAGCTTAAGTATTTTTCTTTGGATATCACGTTATCAATTACGTGTTCGTTTATAAATTGTGACGAATGTGTTAAACAGTACATTGATAAAAAAAGAACGCCCTGATTGATCTTGAAACTCTGTGCGGATGTAAGTGTAAGATTGTTCGATCAAAAGATTTATAATGAAACTAATCAGAACCGCAGTCATAATCTTGAGTACTATATAATATTATTTCGAAAGAATATTATCCTTAACGGTAAGTTGTATTTTAACGGCTGTGAATATATAATATAATGCAGTTTTTATCCTCCTAGATTTTTTAGGTTTCTATATTCACAAAAATTCTTTTGCAAGACTTTTGCATTCGAAAATAATAACTGAATACTATTTTGACATTCCTAAGATGAGAAAATATGTAACATTCATATTAGTATTAACACTATTTTGGAATTGCTAATTTCATATTTAGTAATAACATATATTAACTTGATCTTCGTTTAATTATTCATCTATATTTTTTAATACGATTATTTATTAATATAGTTTCTAATGAATAAAATAAATTCAAATACTATTATTAAGTTTATGTATATACTTAATTTCGACGATCTCATAATAAAATTATTCTTATTAAATATTTTAGATTATCTAGTTATCAAAAAAAAATGTTAATAAATAACCAACTTGCAGCCGGCGAATATCGTCATAATTATATTCGTTTAGCATTTATATTGGGTACACTACTTTTATTCATTGGTTATATTGCTGTCTGTCAATTATTTGAACGTGGCAATCATCGTAAGTTTTTTTTGTAATGAAATTATGTTCGTTCATTAGTTTATATTTTAGCTGCTTCTATTAACGGAACAATACGTCCTGAAAATTTACGTCTTAATGAAATTACTCCATCGGATTGGGTTTATCGAAGTTTAAATGCACTTAATTATCTTTGGCAGGTAAATATATTATTTTGTATTATTCAAATAAAAAAGTAAAACAATCGTTTAGTTCTCTTGGTTACTCTATTCATTAACATTTATTTATCGCCGATCATCAACTGGCTATTTATATCTATCACCAAATACATTAACACCAACATTTTATGTTATTTATAATCTGTCTTTTCTTATTCCAGCATTTTGGTTAATATTCCTTCAAGAAACTTATTTAATCGTAAGCTAAAAAAATATATTCTTTCGAATTTTTTATTTATTCTCGAAATTCTAGTGGACTTGGGTTATATATTTAATATCATTCGTATTATTATCAATGGCTTTGTTTATTATTAATAATAATGTAGCAATTAATAGAAAACTATATGAAACTGAAGGATTGTAAGTCATAGAAAAGAATAGATTTGAAAATCTTGTTCTCTGTTTTAGTAATCGAGATATTTGGTGTCTACGATTTTTTGCACAAAATGGTGTAGCTTTTTTTGCTGCTTGGACAGGTTTGTAATCATAGTTTCTATTTTGAAGCAATAAAATTACTTTTCTTTTTTTTTATAGCTATTCGATTTATTCTTGCTTTTGATACATTTCTTCAAGTTTTTCTTGGTTTATCATTGGCAACTTCTGGTACAGTTGTATTAGTTTTAGCAGCAATATTCGCTATTACATTCTTTTTCATACCAAATTTCAATGCAGCTCTCGTAGAACAGTGTGCTTATCAATTTGCACCATGGATTGTCTTTATCTTTTATTTCTGGGGTGTTGTTGAAAGAAATTGGGTTCCAAAACAGGCTACAAGAAATAATATTATTGCTGCAATTGAACTTGCAGCATGTGTAGTTTCGGGTATTGGTGCATTGGCTTTATTTGCTATACGTTATCGTACATCAAAAATTGATCCATTAGTTTAAATTTTTTGGTTTTTCGGTGCTTTAATCAAGGGTGGGTATTATGGATAATAATTATATTATATTCCTGTTTTTTTCCCCGGTGATTTGTTCTTATCTTTATAAATTCAGTTGGTTCTTGTTCGATAAATAATAAAATATACCAAGTATTATCTATTTATATCTTACTTTTTCTTTGAGTATCGTTACACAAGAAAATAATCAGCATAGGCAAACAGGTAATCTATTTATGTGATATGTTTTATCAAAAGTATTAATATATCACACAATACTATAAATATGTCATCTAAATACTATTGTTTATATGACCGGAATATTAATACACTTTATTTGCATTTGATTAATAACAAAAAATTTGTATTCTCTACGAAACAGTTATAATGAATAATTAGAAATATTTCATAGTCGTTTTTAATAATGACTTAGTTAATCGTCAATTATCCAATATCTAACCTTTGCTATTATGATAAAGTGTGACAACACATAAGATAATATATTGGAGGTTTTTCATATACTCTTATTTCAATTTTATCAATAGTCACATTATAGATCAACAAGGTATAAATAAGCATTTAATCGTTAAATTAAAGCAATGAGATCGGCAACATATTGTACAACAAAACAATATTCTATTGACTGTTTGACGTCGTTTATTTTACAACATTCACAGCTGTCGTAATAATAGAAAACATGCATTTGATTTTAGATCGTTTAGAAAGTTATTTTTCAACGAATACATAATATATATATAGTAACAGAGAAACTATCGAAAATAGTTATTATCAAACAGATAACTTAAGTGATAATATGTAAGCATGAGTAATAGAGAACAAATAATGTAATGTTCTTACACTATCATTATCTGAAGTATTATCAATGATATGTCTCGACAATCTCTATGAAACAAAAATACGGAATGATATTAATAGTTTGAAAATAAAAGGGTGTGAGTGTGAGGAATTTAGTGCATTCCACATTTGTCTACACCTACACCCTTAAGATTTTGTTGTATATCTACTCTAATCTTGCTACTGAACACAAAGATCAGCGTTAGTATCTTATTTCAAAACTGTTGTAGTTGTGAATGTTAAATTTTAAAATAAATTGGTTATATATTAATTGAGTTATATGATCATATAGAAAACAAAAAAAGCTGATTAATCGTTCACTAAACTCTAAATCGAAGATAAACTGAGTAGTCATTCGATTCAAGTATTTAATGAAAGTCACACAGTGTTTTAAATCTTATGTTTGTGAGATAGTGCGCTTGGATATAATCATATACTCTCTATATGTATTAAGTCATGGACGAAGCGTTAAGTAAGCGGAGCGACTCTGTTATTACGACCACGATTTCCAATGTACGATGCTAGTTGGATCGTGTATAAAGAAATGTAACGCAGGGCAACAGTGAGGCCACCATATATACCTATAGTTTGGGTTAAAATGTATATAAAAGTAGGACTCGTCTCCAATGTATATGAACAATACGTCGGTGCACATTGTTCGTAGAATTTTGAATACGAAACATTTACTTGCCATTGTTCAATAAAAAGTTCATTGACAATATCGACGACAGTCGTGTTTGGTTGAAAACGGCTGACAAATGTGGAATTCATGGCCGTTATATAATCTGTTGCATTAGGAAATCCGGGATATATTGTTATAGCAAACACCTGTAACTGATCAATACATGTTTGATTATACAGACATTCAAATGTAGATCGCAATAGTGTCTCCACTGATGAGCAACCAACGTTAAAACCAGGCATAGCAAACATTTGAGTAGTAGGAATATTAGGAATATTAGGGATACCAAATAGTCCATAATTAAAACCGACCATACAGATTCCACCAGGTTGCACGCAATCGCTCCTTGTACCACAAGAACAATTATTGGTTGGCGGGATGGTATCAGTGGGCACCGTACTATTACCACTCTCGCTCACTACCAACCAGCGCCAGTTCAAGCGCAAGCTGGAAATGAAAGTATTCCCATGTGTTATATCACGTATAAGCTGCAAGGTACGAGAAAACTCAGATGCAGTGCTCGTTTGAAATTGATGAATAGTAGCGTTGGTTTGTACGAAAAAACTTGATCGAGAAATAGCTTGAGCATTCACAAATGTTTCTTCAACAAACTGATTGACAGCATTTTTGAAAGTTGTTTGTGAAGTTGAGCATAATAATGACAATAGTTCAAAATATGCAGCACCACGTCCACGTATATCGTACCTGCTGTAATAATACCAGGGAAAACCATCGCCATACAGAAAGTGAATCCAAACGTCCTTTACAAAATCGCTTGTGCACACTTGATGAAAAGTGGAATTAATTGTAATGAATTCTTTGTAGGGCACGGATATGCGCGAGCAAGGACATTGCAATCCATTTAAGTCTGATGCATACAAGTTCTCATACTGAGATTGCGACGGCATTGGAACTATTTGGACGGTAGTATCTTTTAATAGAACAGTATAGACGATCTGGATCAGTATGATAGTAGGTAAGAGGACCAAGTACAGTCGTGTTGAGAGGTGTTCGCGGCGTATTGTGCGGCGTTCAGTTGAATTGTTATTGAAGAAATTTAATGTGATAAGTTTGTGACGAATTTGTGTCAACAAGTGATATCGATTAGGATCAGCTCGACGATTCTCTAAAGAAAGTAGTCTCATCAATTTTCCCGGATTTCATTAAAAGAACTTTTGCAGTGCAAACTACAAATTGGCAAAATACTGTGGCGGATCTGATTCTATATAACAGTGGTGTTTAAACTTAACAGAATAGAATAAGATATGAAAATGCATGATCGTGCGTCACTTAAACCAAGTTACTTAAACAGAAGAATGACAAGACAAACATATTATTATCCATCTTTCGTCTGTCTACCTGAATATAGCGCTTTCTCGTTAGTTGAAAAATACCCGAGACAAGATAATAACTTTATTCTCTGAATTTCACATTCGCTTCGTACGAGAAATATGTTCTAGTGATAAATAAACATTTACTTACGTTCAACTGCTTCTTGATCAATAAATGCCAACGGTGGTTCCTGTGTAGTACGCTTGTGAATAAACTTGAAAAAGATCTTGGCAGCAAACCGACTGATCAATCGAAGAGCAATATTGAGGCCGCCAAAGAGACCAAGAATTTTAGTAATAATAAATATTGCACTACTCCTTTCTTGGTAAGTATATGAGCAAAGAGCAGGACGACACTTCTGATAAAAGTTCGTATAAGACGTTGATGATTGCCACTGATCAGCCATAACATTTTCGATTATAGTTTGCACTAGAGTGTCAGGTGGAAAACTGCTATTCAATGAAGAATTGAGTTTAGTGGCAGTATTGAAAGTGGTGACACCAGCGCTGTCAAATTCCGTTTGTACTTGTTCCATACAGCTGTCATTATACCAGCAAACAAGTGACGATTGAGACACAGCATCGGTCATAAGACAGCCTATATGCACTCCTTCAAGTGATTGATACTCATTAAGATAGCCAACCATAGTGCATCCAGGATCTCGAGCGCAGTAACAGTATCCACCACCAGAAATCAAAGGATAATAAAAACTATACAGATATATTTGTAACGAAGTCTCATCGTCTACCAGAATAATAGATAGATCGGTTGCTTCGAGTAAAGTATTCCGCTGTGACACGCTCACATACTGATTCGCCTGAAGTACTGTATTAATCAATGACAAAGTATAGATAAAATCGGCTCGTAGAGAGTTTAAGAATGAATCAATGAGTGCTTGAGTTTGTGAGATGAACAGATTACTGGGGAGAACTTGAGCATTGATAAATCTCGTCAGAGAAAAACGACGATATGCTTGAATAGTCGTCAAGTTCGCTGAATCACATAGTACCGCCAGCATTTGAAAATAAGATGAAGCAGTGACGCCAAATTCTAATGAAAGGGACACACCATCGTTAACAATAAGATTTTGATACCACCATGGCCGAACAAAATCACTTGTGCACACTTGATGATAGATAGGTGTGATTTCAATCAAGTCTCCGTAAGGAATCGATATTTCAGTGCAAAAACATTGTAACGTGTCTGGATATCGTTCCTGTAATTCTTCATATTGATCTTGCGAAGGTGACGTAATTGTTTTGTTCATCGTCTGCATCGATAAAAACGTATAAAAGATAAGTACAGTCATAGCACTCGTCATTAATATCAAATACAATCGTGTTAAGATACGCTCGCGATATACTCTATGTGCAACCTGCGAATAACTTTCAAATAAGTTCAGCTGTACAATTGATTCTTTCACTTTTTTAACTAAATTATGAAAACGATTCTGAAATGTTGGAATTGGAGCTAATAAAATAAAAACATTTACAAATGTTGTGCATTATTAAAGATGTACAATCTTACTTTCGTTCTGCTGAAATTCATTTTGAAGGAACAGTTTCTTCTTCAAAAATAATAGACAATCGATCAAGTAAGGAGCAATTAAGTGCAATGCTATATTGAGTCCTCCAAAAAGAGCGATTAGAGTAGTGATGACGTATACAAGATCAAATCGTTGCGAATAAGTATAACTACAATAAACAGGAGCACATTGTTGGTAATATGATCCATAAACAGTTTCATTAAAAATCTGTTCAATGAAAAGTTCATTGACAAGATAGCTTAAGGTTGTTGTTGGCGTGAAACGACTTGATAATGATGTATTAAGAATTGAGATATTGATATTTACTTGATATGCAGATAGGAGAATGTTAAGACATGACTGGTTGTAGAAACATTCTAGTGTCGAGGCAAACATCGTTTGCGTTGGCAAACAATCAACTACAAGACCAGGTATGGTTGCATTTGCGACTATTACGTTAAGATCATAAATTCCATTTGTTTCCCATGCCTCATAAAAATAAAGACCACCAGGCATAGAACATGATACATCATTTATACAATAGCACAATGCCGTCGATTCTTGTCTTTTGTATTTAGTCGAAAACGTAGGTACGTACTCCAGCGATTGCCAACCATTAGCCGGCAGCCTGGCAACGGCGTTTGTCGCTAAGCCCGTCATGAGTCCGCTAGCTTGTGTGATACGATCTGCGGATGTAATCGATCGGTTGACACTATCCAATGCTGTTTGATGCACATTATTTAAGGCAGTTAGAGTCTGTGTTCGTAATAACTCTTCGGGTATCAGTTTCGAGCTAATCAATGGCGTATTTGCAAATTCATCGAGTACTTCAAGAAGCGTACTATTTGCATAACGACAAAAAGTAGCAATTAGTTGCCACATAGCACTCAAACTTTTTCTCACATCCATTGGCCATAGTAATGTGATATTAGTTTCAAAAGCAAAATCAATCCACGCTTGTGAGATAAAACCACTTGAACAGACTTGATGAAAAGTTGGATTTGTTTGAACAAATGTTGAGTATAGTATTGAAATCTCTGCACATGGGCATTGTAGAGAGTCTGGATATTGCTTTTGGAGTGTGTTGTATTGGATCTCTGTTGGCAAAGTGACGGTTGCACTCTTAGTTTGTACACTGATTGAAGTGTAGAGGGTTAAAATGATAATAGAGAGGATAAGTAGAAGAATGAATAGGCGAGTCGAGAGAATCTCTCGGCGAATTTTCACTAAGTCGGTTGATCGAGAATCGAAAAGATTGAGCGCCTCAATTTTGATACGAAGAGTATTGTAAAATGTTTGCAGTTGCGTGCGTACAGGCATCGCTACAAGTGTTTATATGATGTTACATTCCTAGTTTAAGTGAATGAAAAATTGCTGGCTGTAAATAAAGATACAATAATGAAAATAAGATCACCTGAGTGGAATCTTTCAGAGTGTGGGTATTATACGACCCAGGTCTCGAAAGGGGCCACCCAGCCCGATCTTTGGCATCAACTTCTCTACTAATTCGCAGACAATACGATTAACAGGGGATTTCTGCTGCTAAATTTTTTCTTATACGATGGTTTTTTCTCTGAAAACGTTTATTAACTGCTTTCTGACTGAGTTTTAGTACTCTCTATATGACTGATTAAAAGGATTTATGCAAAAGAGAAAACTTTCTCCTACGGTTTTCAAGGGGGAACGTATAGCTTCTTCCAAAGAGGACGCTCGCTTTGAATCTTTCACAAAAAAACAACTGTTTTTGACACAGAAAAGGCTTTCACTATAGTTTTCAAGGAGAACTAGTCGTTTTCTCGCAGAGAGAAAACTCTCTATAACTTGCGAATCATTTCTCCCTGACTTCTTCCCCCCTCCTAAATAAAACTAAACGAAAATTCTGCTGATTCATACCGATGTCGCTTGTGACTAGAAAATTGCGGTCTATTAAATGGATATTTCATTCAATAAAATTATTCTATCTATGTAGTTCTTTCCAGTCGCAATGTAACAGAATTTCTTGTGAATTAATTTATTTGAACAAAACATTTTCTACTTATTGTCGAACTGGGCCGACTGGGCTTAGAAAATACAAGGCCCGATCTGGACCGGATCCAGCCTCAAAAAATGGCCCGATTTCGAAGCTTCATACAACCTACGCTCACTCACACTCACGCTACAAGGTTCAGGCCAAATACCGATTTCTTTCAAAATAGGCCCAAATAACTTGAAAACGTTCCTCGTCCTTTGCATGTCTTCATAATCCATTGGAAAAATTACTAATCAACCTCCTAACAACGTGTTTCTATATAAAATTGTAACTTAAAGTTCTGAAAATACCGTTTTTCAAATATTCGATCCAAAATACGATATATAAATGCACTCAGGGTTATAGCTAAAAAGTTTTGGCAAGGAATCGTTACAGATAAGAGATATTTTTTTGTATTGTAAATGAATTTGTCTGAATCTCCTTCAAAGCACTTGCATCTTACAGAGGGAGATCGATTCCCCTAATCTTTCCCTCTCTCCTAAAATATATCCCTGGATACCCCGGTATCACATAAGTAATAAACAATAAAATGCTCTTCATTCTGACATCCTTAATCAAACAATCTCAATTCTAAAATATAGTTGAATACTAGAGCATACATCTCTTCAAGATATCAAGCATAGAGCATCGTCACTGAATAAACAATGTGCAAAATACAGAATAAACCAAAATAGTGAAGTGAACAAGATAAAGACAGTAAAGTGCGAGACTTTAACAAAAAAAGGAAATCAGAATCGAGAGTCAACTTAGAAGTAATAAAAAACATACCTGAAAATTTAAGAATAGACGTCCCACTTTCAAGTGTTTATTCACTGTCTTTGTTTGAAAGTGTTTTTCCGGGAACTAAACAAAACGACGACGTAGAATGTTTTTACATGTTGTTATGAGAGAAAATCACCTAGGAAAAATGTTTTTCATCTTCAAAATGGATATGTAATTGCAGTTTTCTAAAGAAATACATCATTTAGAAATTAAACATACTGCACGTTTAAAAAAAACGTGATGTAATTAGAAATACAACTTAGAGAATTGCTTTCAAACTCAACAATTATTCAGTATACGTACTTTTATGATATTGAAAGAAAAAACAATTTCGCAGCTACTAAACTACTTAATTAATTTTGTTGATGCATTTATGTTAGGCATTCATTTTGATAATAGAAAAAAAAATGGAAAAAAAACTAGTGTGTATGATTCACTTTGTTTGTTCAACTGCTGGAATGTGTTTCTTGACGATTTTCTACTGTGTAGAAAAGAAATATTACGAGTTTTAACGATGATGCTGAATTTTTAATGTTTTTTTTTCTTTATCGCTAAACCATTTCAACTGGATAATGCCTTAAAATGTTTAGAAATGATTATAACTCAAGTCGCTTATTATCGTCACTTTGTCCGAGCTATTTTACTCGACAGTATCGTGAAGTTATTCTTCTAATGCAACTATAAATGAATAATAGTAATTACTTGATCATTCTTTTGATTGATGAGTTAGCTGTAACTGAAATAATTACTTAATATAGAATCTTATCTGCGAAAAATATAAGAGAACTAGTCGATTCACCGTGAATGTTCGCAGATGAAAACGGCCATTGAATTCTTTTAACAGAAATAATGATCAGAGTTTTACATAAGACAGTGTATTTACTCCACATAACTGGGCTTTCAAATATAAATTTTTTTTTTCTTTAAAAATGTATCATGGCAACAGCAACAACGATATTTTCATCAAAGTATTGAAGAGAGGATAGATTTTACAAGATTTAGAAAAGTCGAACTCTCTCAAATCTACATATAATGAAGTCAAATTCAGGCTAACAAAAGACTTCAAACGAAGAAATCGTCGATCATTAGGGTGTTAACTGCTGTTCAATTATTTTTTCCAGATTCTGATAGTTGAAATGACAAGAATGTTTTGCTCAATTGAAAAAAGTCCGAACTCACTTTGTGACAGAATATAATATCACTCATTCAAATAACTGTAGTTAAGGAAAAAATTCGAAGAGTCTGATTGAAGAATGGCTCATATCATTTATCAGCTCGATCGAGTCTAAGTTGAGCTCGTTAATTTATGAGATGATATATTGCTATGCAAATTGTAGATAATTTAAAACCAGTATTCAGTTCTACCAGCAAAGTGGAAACTTATCAAGACGAGAAGCTATTATTCTTACTCTCCTGATGTATAATGGATATCTTATTCGTTTCATACGTACACCGACATCCACACCCTCAAGATTATCCAAGCGATCGTCAATTTTTATCGGAAAATCGTCATAATATTTGTATATAAAAAAATACACAGGCCGCGACAGGCGAAATAACATTCGAATATACCTATTTTATTTTTTATAAGACGAGCTTCTTCATCAATAAACCATCTCCTTACATTAGAATGTATAATCAAAATTGAAGAATAGGATAATAAAGAATTTTAGAAACTCAACAAGTTTTTTTTAAGTATATATCGTATAATGATTAACAGTAGTATACCATTTTTATAGAAAATAAGCAAATATGCTTTGATAGAAAGAACAAAATTATTGCAAGAAACAATGTGTATACTATACAATAGTCAAATTTTTACATATCAATGTAGAATTGATTCAATATTAGCTTTCATAAATACACTTTTTTATATTGATATACAACAAATAGACGCAGATAATATTTTAGCATTTTCATACAAGTCATATGTTTTTTATGAAACATAATTCTATGTACGGATTAATGTTTTGCAGTTACATGTGACAAGCAAAAATATTTAAAATATGTTATATGCTAATGGATGGTCTACAACGAGCTTAAAAATATTGTTTCTAACTGAATAGAATTCCATGAACTGTTTGATTATCGATTCTTCTCGTATCTATCGTTGTACAAAATACTTGAATTAATTTCAGGAAATCGTGAACAAGTAGTCAATATGATGAAATTAACTATGGAAGTGCCACTCAGTAGTGTAGTCTCAGGAATATGTTGATAGAAGAGTGGATATGAATATTATATTAGGAAGATGTTGTCTGTTGAAATACTCTCAGCATAAAACTTCTAAAACAATAGGATATGCATATGAAAAATCATAATTAAATTTTATGTGTTTGTTTTCGTGTTTTTTTTCTCTTTCAGACGATATATTATTCGTAAAAAATAACAGTTAATGTCATTTTTATTTATGCCAATAATCAGATTTAATCGTTCTTACACTCACTTTTATTGTTTATTATAAGAACATTCTTTTTTCTTTACATCGATAATGACGTTGTTCGCTATAAGGACAAAGGTATGATAGAAGTGCATATAAGAAAAAAAATAATCATTATATATTTTCAATAGAAACATTTCGAATATAATAAACAGGTAGAATGGTCTTGATATGCCAGTAGACTTATAAACGAACTACCAATTGATCATTAGATTCAACAGTAAATACGTGATATTATAACTATGACTTCTCATGAGACTGTTCCTTCCTCATTATCGAATACTCCTATAACTCTTATATCATCAATTCATAGTAGTCAAGATTGTTTCAATCCAGTGATCTTAATGACATCGAATTCAATACGATCTGTATCTTCTAAGCGATCCACAAAGAAAAAATGTTCAATCAATCTTAGTCATAAGATTCGTAGAAGTTTCACTCGAAAGCCAAGACCACCCGTAGAACTTATTATGACTGATATGAGCTATCGACTACGTACAACCAAATTCTTAAATATTCGACTGTGATAATTTTCTTTCATAGTTCTTTTCTTTTTTAAAACTTTTTCTCTTTTCTTATAGTGCTTTAGTCAGTGATGGAATGTGTTTGTTTGGCATGTTGGGTATTATTCTCATGATTGTTGACAATGAACTGACCTTTAATCAAGTCCATGATAATGACACTCGAACTACCTGGATTATTAAACCAATCATTAGTTTTACTACAATAATTCTTCTTGTTCTTATTTTCTATTATCATTATTTAGATCTGAGACTTTATGCCGTACAAAATAGTCTTCAAGATTACCGTGTTGGATTGACAAAAACTAAAATATGTTTAATTGTGCTTGAACTACTGATCTGTGCTATTCATCCTGTACCTCATTCATCTCCTGAATTAGAATCGGAGGAAGTAACTTTAGATTCTTCTGAATCTTATTCTTTCTCTTATACAGCTATTGATGTCGGATTAGGTTTACCAAGTGAGTATTTCTTCTTTATTTCTTTTGAAAATCATATTACTTATAAATAGTGTTTGCACGTTTGTATTTATTTGGTCGTTCAATTGTGTTTCATTCACATCTAGTACGTAATATATCATTACGATCAATTAGTTATCTCAATCAAGTATCAATTAATTTTTTCTTTCTCATGAAAATTTATCTTCAACAATGGCCAACACGATGTTTGATGACATGTTGTACAATTATCTTTCTTATAGGAAGTTGGTCTTTACGAGCATGTAGTTATAAATCTAGCGGAGAGCATCTCGCTATATTTGATGCAATGTGGTTATTTATCATTACATTTACCACTGTAGGTGAGTACTTTTCTATTAAGTAAAACTTAACTACAGAGTTTATTAGGATACGGTGATCTATATCCATCGAGTTATTGTGGACGAGGTAAGTGATATGTTTATATCGTATTTAAAGATCTAATTATATTGAATAGCAATCGCGACAATTATTGGTTTTATTGGTCTTTTATCATCTGCTCTACTCATATCGGTTCTTGCACAAAAACTTCTTCTAACTCGCGAAGAAAAATATGTACACACATTTGTATCCAATACAGAATTGGCGAAAGAACGTCAATATCAAGCAGCAAATATAGTTAAATTTGCTATAAAAGTCTGGTTTTTAAAACGACAAAATAAAGCACCATCTATTCGATGTATCCAAATACAGAAAAAATTATTTCAATCAATCTATCATTTGAAAGAAATTAAAAAACAACAAAGAAATTCAACGGATAATTGTATTGATCTGCATGAATTAGTAACGATACAACAAAATACAAATATGCAAATTGAGGAAACAGTACAACATATGACAGAGATCAAATGTGAAATGAACAAAATTCAAATAGAACTAAACAATATGATACTTAATATGAATAATTTACAAACGACACTAAATATCTTATTGAATAAATGATCTAATAACAGAATAGTTCACTTACGATTTTAGTCATCATATATGTATAATAAATATGTGAGATTGAGAATGTTTTATTATTCTTTTATCTATCTTCATCCTTCTCTGTCATATGAGGAGTTAATTTTGCATTAAATGTGAGAAGGGTGTAAGTGTGGATATCGATGAAGAAAATAGATCTGCAATGACATTCACATTCTAAATGTTTGCAGTCGGCGAAATCGCATATACTTGATAATTAAAGATTAAAAACACTAACTGATATTGGATACTTTATATGTAGGTTATATTTTTGTAGATCTTGTTTTTCTTTTCAAAGCCTCAATTAAAGAGAGGAGCAAACAGAGAAAATACCTAAAATCCCTTGTTAATATTTATTTTAAATTAAATTGTGTCCTACATATATATATATGTTTCAAATTTATTTGTTATTTACCGTCAACTTACATCGTCGAAGTCACAAGCTCAACTTTTATTCATTCTAAGATGCATATGATAGTATCAATCATATTCGTGTGCCTTTTTCAAATTGCATCAGGTACAGTATCTGGAGAAAAGATCTGATCTTCAAAATCTACGCGATTTTCCAGGAAAAAGAAAATCGCTAATTGTTATTGTTCATTGATAGAAATCATTTAAACGTTGTTGTGAGTTTGACATAGAAAAGAATCAAATTAAGCATAATGACTAAGTTGTCTCAACATTTCTGATTTATCAAATGTTGTTATTCGCATGTCATCATCTGTCGCATCATGAATCATTACATTTTCTATGTAACTAGTTAGACAGCATCGAGAAGTATAGAAAAATGAAATTGTAGAACACAAACAATTTGAAGAATCGATCGATGAATCTCTCAGATCTTCTACTTGCACTGAGAACCATGAATAATAATGATAATTAATTTAGTGCAATCAACACCAGTAATGGCGAAATCAACCGACTATCTGTCGGAGTGTTTCAATTGTACGCATATACCTAATCAAACATGTATTAACATTGCCTACAATTGTCCAAGTTGCATGATGTATCGAAACGATGAAGATCCAAGTATGTAAACACCCTTTTGGTTTCTTCATATGTATGACTATTAGTTCGTTTCTAATAGATGTTATTGAAACAAGATGTTGTATGTCGGATTGCGGACCATCATACCAAGTATCAATGCATAAAGGTCGTCCAACATATTTTTGTCACGGTGATCGTTGCAATGTGAAGATGAGCCCAACTGTATTAGATTCTCTTAACTGATTTATTTTTCTCTCCATCATATCATTTTATTGAGATTTTCAAAAATAGTTTTCTGGCTGTTCGATGAGAATTATTTAATAAAATCGTCAAGACTCACATTTAAATTTGGTAACAGATTTCAATTCGGACTATTCTGAGGATGTGGGTGTGAGTGTGTATTGCATGCAAAAGCTATTCAGATCATTACTCATCCATACCGATATTCGCACAGACCTTCAAGATGTTCAAGTAACTATTTCGCAGTTGATCGAGATTAACAATGTTTTCTGAGAAATATAATATCTCTCAAACAACTTTATTCTGATCCCTATGTTTTTTTTCATTTATAATAGCTTTTTAAAGTTTCTAAATTTTGACCGATTATGAGGACAAAACTATTACTATAACAGGCTTCTGATTTCTTTTCAAATGTGCAAGTAAAATTAATTAGAAAATATTTTTTAGTATCTCTTTATTTGATTAATTCCTAGCAAAATTCGCATAATAAAAGTCTTCGCATGATATGAAAACAACGTTTAAATTTTTATTATCTTTTAAAAATATAAACAATTAAATATCATTTTATAAAATAATAACCACGCAAAAAAAAGCAAATAAAATCTTCATGAAAAACGACAACAAAATATTTTTAATTATTGTTCAATAAATAGAAAAAAAAGATATTTACGATTGTTTTATTTACATACGTTCTCCATATTTTGTAAGCAGTTAGGACAAAAAAAAATTATTATTAAACTAATGTACGTTTATTTAAGGGTTTAAATCCGCAGCATTCACATGAACTAAATAGAATACCCATAGTCAGATTAGTTTCGCTTGTAACAACGATATCCAGTCGACCATCGCTATTAAAATCACCTGTAGCGATAAATGCGGGTTTTCTAAAAGACCCAGTCAAAAATTCGATTGGTACTGTAAAGTCTCCGCCACCATTCCCAAACATTAGTCCTACGCCATTTGCTACACTAAGGGCAACAGCAAAATCTTGGTGTCCGTCATTGTTGAAATCACAAGCAATTATGGATCTTGGTAAAGCACGAATTCCAGTCATAAATTTCTTCAGTTCATGGAATGTTCCATCACTACCATTCCCAAGGAAAAGCATTACATTATCATATGAGCGTTCAGTAAAAACGAAATCTAATCGATCATCATGATTGAAATCTCCTATAATAGCAGATGTTGGCTCAAATCGAAATTCTACTGGAATTACTATAGTTGGCCCAAAAGTTTCTTTTCCACTGCTAAGAAGAACGCAAATATTGCTCCAACACTAATAAAATCTGGTTGACCATCTTTATTGAAATCACCAACAACCAGATTCTTATTTGTGCAGTCTCTATTAGAAATAATCTTTTGTGCTTGAAAACCTCCGTTGTTATTACCATACAACAATATTACTGTGTTTTCTATTGTGGTAGTAACAATTAAATCTGTTGCGTCATCATTATTGAAATCACCTATAATAATAGAATTTAATAAACCATCGGCTTCGATCAAATGCGTCATTTGTGCTAGAAAAGTGCCACCACGAGTCCCGAGTAAAACTCCAATATCATTATTTGCACCATTAGCAAAAACGAGATCCGGATAACTATCGTTATTCAAATTACCTACTACGACTAAAGTTAATTCATTATCACTTAAGATCAAAGATTTTGTTGGTTCTTGAAAATTTCCGTTCCCATTTCCGAATAGCAAGTCTATATTTCGTTCGCCACGTTTGATGATAGCGATATCTAGATGACCATCGCTATTAAAATCAGCAACAGCAAGCGGGCTTGATGAAAGATGAATGTGACCTGGATATAAAATAATTGAATGAAATGCTATCGGACACGGTGGTTCTAGAAAAACAAAAACATTAAAGTCAGAAAACGGTAAATAGTAGTGATTTTACGAGTGTCGTTCAAGAAGAGTTCCTTAATAAATATCTATGTAGGTTGTAGTTAATAAACATTCATCATATATTTCTTATCTTGTCATATAATAATATACTTTCATCGGTATTAATCGTTAATTTATAAGTGTCTCAGTGATATACGGAAAACTAACAATTTAACCTTTACTTGTTCAATACATTACCAAAGGCACAGTGATACAATTATTAAAAAAATACATACCTGCTGCAGTAGAGTCAATAGTTGAAAAGCCAAGCATATCAATTACCGCCGTTGTCGTACGAACTGTATTGCTCCTTGAAAAAGCTAGTGAAAAAAAGAACATTTAAAGACAATATTAAGAAAAAATATTGAATAATTTAAGTATGACACTCAGGATACGTAATGACTGTTCTAAATAGTTGCCTTACATATCCATTATCTTCACCTATATTTAATAGATTATTAAAAGATAACTTACTGTGATGTTTTCCTTTGTTAATTAGATAAACAGATAGGCTAATAATAGCCATAGTTATAAGTACACAGGGTAGAACTTTACAGCAGAGAAAACGTTGTAATATTGAGGATGTATTAGTCCTAGTGATATGAATATAGTTAATAACTAAATTTAATTTAATCTAAAACATACGAAGCTGTGGAGACCAATGTTAAACTGTCAGTAATATTAGAAGCATTTGAATGTCTCACTGATGTGTTAGTTTCCTGATCGGTCACCATTTCATCAGTAGACATAGATTCGATACGGTTCGTTCGCTTCTTTCGACATTCATATGTTTTAAACCATAGGCGAATTATCATTGGACAAAGCCACTTGAGTATAAGACTAAGACCACCATAAATACCCGATATAAGAGTCACGGTGTATAATAAATTGACTCGTTCAATGTAAGTATATGAACACGATGAAGATGAACATTGATCAAAATAAGATGAGTAATTGATTGCTGTCGACCAGTTTTCAATAAAAACTTTGTTAACAAGATCGATAACAGGTGTATTACTGGAAAATCGACTTTTATCTGTAGATAATGGCATAGCAACACTTGGAATATTATTGCTATAGTTTAATTGATTATAAATGAGATTAATACAAGATAAATTGTAAAAACATGCAAGACTCGATGCTAGAAATGATTCAGTCGGTGTACAACCTATTTTTAAGCCTATGATTGGAATGACTTCTGATGTAGAATTTATATCAACAAAAGCAGCTTGAATAGTACAGTTGGCATTCAAATGACATGAACAATTGTCATAAGTTATTGCTTTCGTGTTCGCAGCATACCTTTTTGTAGAATACAAAGGATCGATATATTCAAAATTTGTACCATAAGCTGATATGATTGCGTTGCCATGATTTGTGTCTCGGATAAGACGAATAAAACGAGTGAATATTCTGGGAGTATTCACTTTACTCTGTTCGATAAGCGAATTGACTTGTGCATCAAAATCTGTCTCTGATAATAGTGCAGGAGTGACAAATAATGACGAGAGAAATTGCCCAACAGAAGCGTTTACTGATTGATTGGATAGACGACATAATCCAGTCAGAAATTGTAAATGGGCTGAAATGAAACGACGATAATCTCTTTGAGTATAAATAGAAAGATCTGGAACAAGATTCGATGTAAGACTTTTCCGCCACTCATCGGACACAAACGGACTCGAACAGATCTATAAATAAACAAAGAAGAAATGATTATAACTAGGATCTTTATTAGTCTTCGGAGAACTACTTGAGTAAATAATTATATATGATGTATTATTTATCTCATTAAGTTTATATTAGATTCGTATTCTAAAGAGCTTAGAATGATCAATTAATGTTTACCTGATGAAATTTTGGTTCGATTTGAACATACCGATCATATACTGATGAAATATTTGAACAAGGACATCGGAGTGTATCGTGATGATCGCGCACGAGAGAGTTGTAAACATCGAGTGATGGTTTCGCAAAAGACTTCGACAGAAGTCGTGGTTTAACGACAGAATAAAGAGTGAGAATAATAAGACCAATGACAAGAAGAACGATGTAAAGACGAGTAGCCAATTGACCAAGATATTTGGCTCTCATTCGATCAACATTACTTCCAAAAGCGTGCAGCGGAAATAGGTTTAGATTCTTTAAAATTCCACTCAAAAGAGATGGTAGTTTTTTTAATGTGCTTTTTATTCGTTTGCATAGCTTTGGACGATCTATATGAAGAAAAAGAAATATTATATCTTATTTAACTATAAAGTTTCAATTTAAACGATTTACTAGTTAGCATGCATAAGAAAACTAATCTTGTCCTAGTGAAAATGACAAAATACAGATGGGTGTGGGCAATCCTGTTCTTATTCTAGATTATGCCCATTCTCTTATTCGGATTTATAATTAAGGATCTGTTCAGAGATTAATGAGTTTAAAAGATGTATGAAGACGACATCCTCAATGCGAAATAGTTGAAAGACAAGTTATTATGCTACTTTTTATCTTTACTAAAAGAATAAATAACAAGTTTATTTTGTACAAAAACCTTCGGTGAATAGTTCTATAAAATACTGAATTAATAATTACCGTTTTGTTGTCTTTGAACTTTTGGTTTTAGCAAGCGAAAGACTAATTTGACAAGTTGGTTTGTAATGAAACGTAATGCAACGATGAGACTGCTGATCATAGACATCAGTGTTATTATGACTTCAGTGAAACTTTGCGTATTTTTGTCATACGAATATGTGCAGGACTTCGGTGTACATGCATTATAATAATTTTCAAATGAAGGTATTTGATCCCATTTTTCTAACATCATTTCTTTCACTATCTTTGAAAGTGGAGTATCTGGTGGGAAACGACTTGTCGTTGAATTGTAAACGAGAGGACTAAGTTTGACCCATGGTATTTTTGATATTTTCGGTCTGATAGTCCATGTTCTGTTTAAATTAGAAAGTAGCTCTGGCAGACAGGTGGAATTCGAATAGAAACATTCGAGTGTTGAGAGAAGAAGTGAATCGATTACAAAACAACCTTGAATTGCACCTGGCACTCGATCAATTTCACCATCACACCCTATTGCGACTAATTCGCAAAGAACCATAGAACTTTGACAATTAAAATCAGTAGCACAAAAGCAGTCAGTGCGTGATAAATTCCACTTGGGTAGCTCAGTAAAACGAAATGCTATCTAGACAAAAAGATCTGTTAGAGCAAACCTTGTAGGGTCTAAATGTAAAATAAAAAGTAGCTACTAAAACGTTACCTGATATCAATTAACCTTGGCACAACCATATGGGATCCACATAGACCCCAGTTGAAAAAGAGATATTTAGAAGTTTGTCTGGTTCTGTTATGAGGTCAACAATGAAAGAATGAAAATAACTGGTGTTATTAGGGTACACATCGAACATTTGCTATAGCATAGAATGAAGCGCTCAAAGGGAAATGCTGTTCATAGATGAGTATCTCATAAAAAGTTTAAAATTTGAGCAGATTGCGAGTAGTCGTGTCAAGATTTATATCATATCTGTGATGGTCTGTGATTGATCGCTATGGAAGTATATATCACAGATTGTGGGTGGAAGAAGAGAAGTAAAACTTTGCTTGTATCAAGCTCAATACTACTATTACTTTGTGCTTTGCAAAAAATTTCGTTGCTTACTATTCCTAGCGAATCTTTACAAGAATAAACGTTATTATGAGGCATTTTTTCCTATCGTCAACACAATCTACTGTAATAACGAAAAATGAGAAGGGATATGGTCGCTTATAGTCTCCATCCTTCTTCCAGAATCTAGTTATTTTTATTAGATTCAAATTAGAAAATATGTCTAGTTCTTGGCGTGACCATCTAAGCAAACACTTTGTGAAATGTTTTAACCAAAAATATCAGTTTTTTCTAATGGGTTTCGTGAAAATACAGAAGACGTCATTTTAAATTCTTGAGTTTACGATAATAGATGTTCCAAGATCTATCTGTCGAATGTGTATCTTATCATGATACAGCTCATTTTTTGTGAAACTCACATGTATTTTTCGAAGAAAAAATAGTGAGTATGAATTCTAAGACAAGGATTTTCAGAATGGAGAGAGGAAATCGTTTTTGTTGTCGATGAGACGTGCGACAGCCATTGACCATTATACGTCACTCGCTTGACTCGTTCGCCGAGCGCTAACCGTCTCTGTCTCTTTTTATCCTTTCATGCGTCACTACATCTATATAAGTGGTGTATGATAAAGAAAAGGTGCGATTGTGAGAATGCAATCGGATAGTAAGAATCGTGTCGTGGGCTTCTAGCTAGTGTCAGCAGGATATTACGTCACTTTAGACACAGCGCTCACGTTACCAGCACCATCCCCTACTGCCGACGTTCGTATGGCGAAATTCTTATTTCATGTACAGGCGACACAAGGCACCACGATGCTGAAAGGTATTGATAGTCATTCTCATAATTCGTCACAATGCGGATGTTGGTTTTTCTGGTAGTTAGAATGGTCAGCCGTTAACTCAGAATCAAAAATCAATGAGCAAAATTCTCTAGAACGAGGAAATAGAGACGAAAACCAGGCTAATAGATGTTTCCACGTCACATATGGTTTACATACACAGAATATATGAGTTCTATATTTTAGTCCCGATAAGGCTGCGCTGACAAGCTTCTGAACGAGAATCGAAGATGTTAGAAAAGACAAAATTATTTTGGCTCTTCAAGATCAGATTTTTCAAAAAGACAGCCGTGTAGAGATATTAATTTAAGTCCGATGTGAGTATTTCACAAATTCAATAGTCTCGTTTAGCTAGATGTCACTTTAAAGAAAAAGACGGATATTCTTGAGAATCAATATGATCAATAATTCGACAAAATTAGATATTGTATGATTATTGAAATGTACAAACGTATTTCTGCAAAACAAACATCGTTAAAAAATTTATAGGTAGGACATATTCGAAGGTTTTTGTATAGCTGATAAACTATTCATCAAAGTCAATCGCAAATAGAGAAGATAGGATTTTACCTATTGAGTTAGCACATACCTGAGCCGGTTCCCTGGTACCATTATTATGTATCGTAACGTTGTGTATAATTTTCGCATTTGAAGATTTCGTATATGGCTGATCAACTCGGATGAACAAATGCTTTGTATCAACAAGAAGACCAAACTGGATAATTACCGGTTCCTTAAACTGAACGAATGTTGTGTTTAATTGAAAATTAAAATCAGCTTCGTTGAGAAGATTTGGAGTAATAAAGGGTCTTGCAGCTAAACGTTGAACAGCATCGTCTATTGTTTTGTTTGCCAGTTGACAAAGACTCGACAACAATTCAAAGCGCTCAGCAGCAGAATAGAACCAACCATAAGATTCCCAAAGGTGGATTTCAAGGGGTATGGACATAGCAATCCATAATTCGCTGATAAAACCACTCTTACACACTTGATGAAGGTCATGATTGAATGAAACAAATGTTTTATAACGATTTGTACTAATTGAACATGGACATTTAATTGTATTCGGATATTCAGACTGCAACTGCTTAGATTTATTAAAAGATAGACTTCGCTCAGTTGTTGTAATAGTGTGAGTATTGAATGAAGCGTTAAAAGCAAGACTCACGATGGAAACTAAAATGATAAAATGAATAAGAAATTTCTATCAGTACAGACATACCATATTCAATACAAAGACTAAAGAATCTTTAATCGTTTTCTAGATCATTCGAACGCATTTATGCACTGAGGTGAACACTTTTGAGAATAGAAACAAAAGGAGTTTTTTACAATATTTTGACTGATAATTGTACAAATGACTTTTTGATGGTTAGTGTGGGCAGTATAAAATGGATTTTTGACTTCTTTCTACTAGGAAAAGTTGAGAACAGGTATTTTAAGGAAAAAGGGTTGACATAACAATCTCATCGTTCCCGCCTTTCTTTCAATCCGTAATTGAAAGTAATATCAATATAAAAAACCGTCTAAAACTTTGTTGGAAATGTAGTATTTATAGCTGTTATTGATATTGTTCTCTGTTATCGCGCACAAGATTTTCTCCTTTTCACTGCTATATAATCCAGTCAGACATAATTGATAAAAAAAGCCGTTTTTACGCGTTAAAATGTGCGCTTTGGAACGTATAAAACAGCCACTTTACTCAGAAAGTACCGATAGAAGCATACATGATTTTCATAATTATTGTTTAATTTTTCGATTCTCTGAATGAAATAGAAGTTATGAGTTTTGAGTAAATCTGTTATCTGCATTTTCTTTATTGATATATCTCAATGTAATGAATCAGTATAACTATTCTCTAATCATACGAACCATCATTGTGATTAACAGGTGTGAGAATGTGTATGAATGTAAATTTCATCACGAATCAATTCTTTTCTCTTATTACTAGTGAACCGACTGAATGAATTATTTCTGGTGAGGAAAAAAATTATACTTGTGAGAAAAATCAAATAAACACGCGTAGTAATGCGTTGTTGTCGAATTGTTTCTATTGTCCGATCATTAGCTGTTTTGAATAAGTTTAACTGCCGTACCCATTTGCTCAATTTACGAATCGAATGCACTAGAAAGCAAAGTATAAATTTTATTTATAGTAAAATTTTGTGTTAAAATAAAAAGATACCAAGTTTGAAATCAGTGTTTTCTGGGCAACTCTTGCATTTTAATAACAGACTAATTAACAAAGGCGCAATTAAACGAAGTATAATAGTAAGACCACCATAAAGACTCAGTAACAGAGTAATTACATCTAAAAACTTGGTTTGACTAGTTGTGGTATATTGACAGTCCGAAGGAGCACATTCGTTAAAATATTTTGGATAATTAATATGTATTGATGGATTTTCAATTAAGAGTTCTTCAAGTAGTTGATTCAATGAAATAGTTTTTCGACTTGAAGTTAAAACAGAATTAGTCCAATTTAAGTTCATCTATATGAAAAAAAGGTTTTATATAGTAGAAAGAATGTAAATTATACATACTCGAGTGACATTTGGAAAGTAATCAGTAAAAGTTTCAAGACATTTAATGTCGTACAAACAATCAAATGTGCTGGCAAGAACAGCATCAAGAGCAGTACATCCACCAAAGAATCCATCTACTGTTGATACGGCAATCGGCCTGAAAAAAACAGGTTCCATAGGCCAATTGTCATGATAACGTGCAATGTGATCTAATGGATCTGAGTAGAAACCGGCTGGAGTGACTTTATTTTTTAAGTTACAGGTTGTAGTGTGTGACGTATCCGAATATAGATATTTGTCGACATATCTTGTATGCTTTTCATAAATACGAAATCTAAAAGATATGTCAACATTATAGGCC